GATCGTTTCGTACCGTACCTGCCGGTTCCAGGCCACTGGCGGCGTTCCATCTTGAGCGATTAACAATAAAAGCACTCCGAACCCTTTTGGGAGGGGACCTAAGTGAAGAGGGCCAGGAGCATCAGGGATAAGGGGGTCTTTTTGCAGATGCATCAAGCCAAGCCGCCCAGATCGATCATCCCTGGAACGAGGACGGGGACCTAAGTGAGGACACGTCTTCATCGTGCTAGTAGGTTTCGGGTTTTTCTGTTCTCGATGAAATATCTGCAGATTCCAGGCTGGTGGCGGCGTTCAAACTTGAATGTCATATCTGGGGCCGCGACCTCGTCCACGCTGCGCGGACCTGCCGTAGCAGAGCAAGAGACGTTCGAAATCGGACTCTGATATCATGACGGCTCTCATGAGTGACCCGGGGACGTCTCCAGTCTGCGTGTCTTTCGCTCGGCCCATCCCTCCAAGCTCAAGCAGTTGCCCACCCCAGCCGATCATTTCCAGTCCCCAAACGCTCTTCGGCTCGATGTCTACGAGACGCGGGCCGTCATACCTCTCGACCCCTTCCCCAAGGCCAGGTTGACCCGAGGCACGACACTGGCCTCCAAGAGCCCGAAATGGAACAATTGTTTTTGTCGGCAACGCTGGCGGTCGCAAGCGCATCGGCAGAGCCGCCGGCGGGGGGTGTTGGGCACTGAGCACACCAGGGTAATCGGACGAGAAGAGAAGGCCGCGGAGGAGGAGGAGGAGGAGGAGGTGTGGATGAGGGGGGGGGGCGTGGAGGAAGAGGGGACAAAAAGAGGAAGTGGAGGAGGAGGAGGAGGAGGAGGAGGAGGAGGAGGAGGAGGAGCTCTTCGCGAGCTCTTCGGTCGGTGACTTCGTCACTCCCCCGCCCCGCTCGATCCGCCTACGGTGCGCCGCGGGCGGTGGCGGGGCGTGCTCAGCGCCCGCAGGCGCCTCCTCGCCGCCACCAGCAGACCTTTCAGGTCGTGGTGGCGGCCCCTGGGGGCTCCGCGCTGGCGGAACTCCCCCCCCCTGTGCTTTCCCCTCGCTGCCTGACGCTGGTCGGGCAGCCTCCCACGAGACCTCCGCGTCGGCACCGCCCCCCCCCCCCCTCGTGGGTCTCCAGCACTGCGCCTCTCGGTGCACGACGCCGCCTGGAGGAGCCTCAGCACTTTGGACCTCCTCTCAGCGTCCTCGCCTACGGCCAGCTCCGCCTTCCGCCATCGTGGCTCCTCGCCGTCGAGCTTGGCTTCCTTCTCCTCGCCGCCACCTGCGGACTCTTTTGGTCGCGGTGTTGGCCCCTGGGGGCTCCGCACTGGCGGAACTTCCCCCCTCTGCCCCCCTCGCGCCGCCTGGCGCTGGACGGGCAGCTTCGCGCCGAGACCTCCGCGTCGGCACCGCCCCCGTCTCGGGCTTCCTCTTCACTGCACTTCTTGGCGCCCGACGCCGCCTGGAGGAGCCTCAGCACTCTGTTCCTCTTCTCCGCGCCTTCGTTAACGCCTAGCTCGGCCTTCCTCCGTCGCGTGCCAGCCCCTGGGGCTCCGCACTGGCGGAACTTCCCCCCCTCTGCTTTCCTCCCGCTGCCTGGCGCTGGCCGAGCCTCCTCTCGTCGGGTCCTTTTCCTTCGGCACCGCATTTGTCTCGGGCTTCCTCTGTCTTGCACCTGATGGCGCCGTCGCCGCCTGGAGGAGCCTCAGCACTTCGTGCCTCCTCCCAGCGCCCTCGTTAACGACTCGCTCTGCCTTCCGCCGTCGCGGCTCCTCTCCGTCGAGCTGAGCTTCCTTCTCCTCGCCGCACCTGCGGACCTTCCTGGTCGCGGCGTCGGCCCCTGGGGGCTCCGCACTGGCGGAACTCCCCACTCCCTGCTCCCCTCGCGCCACCTGGCGCTGGTCGGGCAGCTTCGCCCCGCGTCCTCCTCGTCGGCCGCGCCCGCGCCGCCCCCGCCGCGGCCGCCCTCGGCACTGAACTTTTCGTCGCGCGACGCCGCCTGGAGGAGCCTCAGCACTGCGTTCCTCATCTCGGCGTCCTCGTCAGCGACCAGCTCCACCTTCCTCTGTATGTACTCCTCGCCGCCGTGCTTGGTTTCCTTATCCTTCTCCTCGCCGCCACCTGCGGGCCCATCTGGTCGCGGTGCAAGCCCCTGGGGGCTCCGCGCTGGCGGAACTTCCCCCCCTCTGCTTTGCTCGGCGCTCTCCGCAGCTGTGTCTGGCGTGGGCTCCCGTGATGGGCCCCCCTGCTGTGACGCCGCTGGCGTCGCCTCCTCACCTCGCCGACCGTCTCGAACGAGCTTGTCCCACTCCTCTGCGTCGGCGAGGCGTGTCCAGTGACTAGCTTGTACTTCATGGAGTTGCAGCTCGGCGCCTTGGTGCACTCCCGCTGCAGCTTCCCCGAGACGGTCTCCGTCGCCGAGCCCGCGCACAGCGTGCAAAACCAGCGCCTCTGCCTCCCTAGCCACCGCAGCGGGTGCGCGTGGTGCGACTCGACGCCGAAGTAGCTGACGCACCTTCCCTCCGCTGGCGGCGGGCCCCCACACTGTTGCTCGAACCACTCTTGAAACCCGCTGAGCGGCGCTGAGGCTGGGATGGATTGGCAGCAGCAGCGGCGCATCCACCCTCTGCCCCTCCTTGGCCTCACGAGGTCGTGGTTGGTGGGCGGCCTCTTCAGCGGGTCGCCGTCTAGCTCCGACGGCCTCCGCGCGATGACGTCGTTCGTACAGGCCGCGATGCGCGAGCGCACTAAGTGCACCGTCGCCCTCGCCCACTCGTAGCATCCCATATGGTTCTCCTCGATGGCGTGCTGCTGCGCGCCCGCCTCGGCGAGCGTGTCCGCCTGCTCGTTGCCTTCCCAAGCAACCCTCGGGGTGCCTTTGGCCTCTGCCTCCTGCGCCTCCAGGTGGCTGTTGAGGTGTTTCACCTCAACCTCCTCTCTTCCTCTGCCTCTTCTCTCGGCGAGCGCCCTCCTGAGCCTCTTCCACAGGTCGCCGTTCGCCACTCCTCTTTCAGGCCGCTCCTCCTTCCTGGCGAACCAGCCCCTGCAGGTGACCTCGCTGTCTGTCCAGTAGGTGATCGGCCCCTCCGTCGACTCCAAGCAGTTGATAAACGCCCAGAGCTCGGCCCCGCTGTTCGTCTGCAGCTCTCCTGGGAGGGGCTCGAACTTGGCCGCCTTGAGCGGGAAGTCGCTTGCGCGCCCTTCCGTCTTGAGTGCTGCCCAGCCCCATCCGCACCTCCTGTACCTGCTGTCGTTGCTGTAGTTGCCTGCTGACCCGTCGCCGCATGCGACGAGTGGCGCTCCTCCTTCTCCTCGAAGCCTCCTTAGACGCAGACATTCTCCCACCAGCGACTCCTGCTCCTGAGTGTCGCACTTCGGTGGGACTGTCCACGACCTTGGCGTGAGGCCTCGCAGCCAGAAGACAGGAACCTCCTGAGCTCCTCTCTCCGCTCTCCTTGCCAGCCTCTGCGTCTCGTCCAGGGCGTCCAGGTCGTCCCTCTCCGCGCAACTGCCCCAGATGCGATGGAAGTCATCCTCGGGCAGACCGCACTCGCAGAGCTCATGAGGAGGAGGTGGAGGAGGAGGAGGAACGGGAGGAGGAGGCGGAGGAGGAGGAACGGGAGGAGGAGACCCGAGCCGTCGAGTCGGCGGGGTGGGCGCGCTCAGGCGGCCTCGGGGACAGATCGACCCTCGATTTCTTCGAGCCGCCGGGTGCACCGTAAGGGCCGCGGGGCGCGGCCGTGAGCCCCCCCTCCCCCGCCTCGTCTCGCCCCGAGCCCTGTCGTAGGGGCCACATGCGAACCCTACCCCTACCCCCCACGATTTCTGAGGGGGAGGGTAGGGTTCGCATGTGGCCCCCTATGTCGACGCAGGCCTTGCTGCCTGCTGCTGCTGACGTGCCGTCTGCCGCACGCTCCGCACGGATTTCTTGGACCGGCGCTGGACCCCCCTTGCCCAGGCGCCAGTCCGAAGCTTTCGTGCGGGCCTCCGAGAAATGACTGCTCCGTCGGGGGCGAGGCAGAATGGCTGCACCAGCGACAGAGCCAACCGGGGGCACCGAGGAGCGAGCTGGCCAGCGTGCAGGAGGGGGGGAGAGGACGGACGGGGCGGCCTTTCCGCGGGGGGGGGGAGAGAAGGAGGGGCCACTCAGAGGCGGAGGACCGCCTCCGAGCAATCACACGCTTGTGCCGTTATGGTGTTCTTCGATGGTGTTAGAAGCCTCCTAGATGGGGTCCGAGTAGATGGGGTCGGAGGATCTCGCCGCATCGCAGATGCATCGACGATGCATCGTCGATGCATCGGTGATGCATGGGCCATTCACTGGCGACGTCGGCGGTACATCCGCGACGTCGGCGTGCGGAAAAATGGACCCCGCATCGAGCCGCATTGCCGATGCATCGCCGATGCATCGGCGATGCGGCGCGATCCTCCGACCCCATCTACTCCGACCCCATCTAGGAGGCCTAGAGGTGTGACGTCTGGTCCGTCTGGTGCACGCAGCTGGCTGGCCCTGCGGCTCGCCAGGGGCTGTCGGCCTGCCGCGAGGTGCTGAGAGGCCTCGGCCCTCCGGGGTCGGCACGCCTCGGCGCCGGGGCGGAGGGCGTGCAGATCTCTCGAGCGCGCGGCCAGGTGTAATGGCGTGCAGACGGCCCCACACTCGGGCCTCCCATCCCGCCACTCGGCGAGCAGCTGTCAGCATGGGCCTCCAGCCTCGGCGTCGACATCTCGCGGAGCAGCGGCAAGGCCCGCCCTCCATGCTCGCATCTCGCACGCGCGCTGATCCAAGCGCTGCATCCAACAAGGACGGACACATGCAGTGGTATCCCAAGCCGCTTCCAACACACTGGAGTGCGGCTGCCAAATTCAAGATACGTATGTCCATACCGTAGTCGCAGCGGTTGCCAGAAAGATCCCACACGCACAGTTCTTTGCAAGAGACTCGAGAACGCTAAGACCGATCCCACTGTATCCTGGGTATCCTGCCGAGTTGCGAGACGACCTCTCATACACTGTGATGCTCAAGCTGTGGCTGCTTTCGGTCGTCGCAATATGAACATCCCGCATCTCGCCGAGCAGCGACAACGCCTGCCGCCGCCACTGTCCCACAATCTCCCACAGGCGCAGATCCCAGCGTTGTAGAAGATGACAATGTGACCCATCTTCGCCACCCGCATCTCGATCCAGATCGCCAGAGCCCGCTGCCACTGCTCTCCCTTCTTACGCGCGCTGACCTTAGCGTTGTAGCTAAGTAGTGCTGACCCGTGTCCTGCCGGCCACGAATTCTGTCCGAGAAGACAGATTCGGCCAAGACAAAGACACTGCCGAAAGGCTTTCGTGATGACGGTGGGCCCGAACTTCGCCTCTGCGGTTGCTGCCTGCAGCTGCAGGGTGCTGCTACCTGCGGGCGGCACGCTGTTGCCGTTTGCTTTTCCTGTGCTGCCGCTGCTTCCTGCGGACTGCTGCTTTGCGCTGTGGCTGTTTGAGGCCGCGGAGTGCTGCTCCTCGTGGTACCTTTGCTGGTTGACGCAGCCTGCAAGTCGTGAATGGACCGATGAGCGAGGCGCCAGGAGCGAGGAGCCAAGGCCGCGGGGGTCTGGGACGCGAGGGGCGGTCCGCGAGAAGCAGGGAGCCAAGGGGAGCGAGAGGGGAGAAGCGACGGCCGAGGGGGCAGGGAGGCGGCGAGGAGTGGCGAGCGAGAGTCGACGAGGAGGGGGGGGGGGAAGGCCAGACGCCAACAGCCAAGAGGGAGCAGCGCTGGGCCCGGCGGGGCGGGGCGAGGAGGCGTCGGCGACGAGCGGGACGGCATGGGAACCGGGCGAGGCGGAGCCAGGAGCGAGAGGGCGGGAGCGACAGCCGACGAGAAAGGGAGGGAGGGAGGGAGGGAGGGACGAGGAGGGACGAGGGGGGCACGAGGAGGGACGAGGAGGGACGAGGAGGGAGGGAGGGAGAGGGAGGGAGGGACGAGGAGGGACGAGGGGGGGGCGAGGAGGGAGGAGCCGAGGAGGGAGGAGCCGAGGAGGCGGGCGGCCAGGGGCCAGGAGCAGCAAGAGGGGGGCCAGGGGGGAGAGCTGCGAGAGGGGAGGGGGGTCGAGGAGGAGCGAGGCGCAGGTCGGGCACGTCCCCCTACAGGCGGCTTCGGGGCGACAAATTAAAAAAAAAAAAAGAAGAAGCCAAAGCAATGCTCGGGCATAGCCCAAACATGATCAACACATTCTCAACAAATCGGTCCCAGACGACTTTTTGACGATGTTTCCCTCCTGCAGAGGGGCGTGCCCCACGCAAAGCGAGACGAGGGAGGAGCAAAGGAGGAAGGCGAGACGGGGAGACGCACCGAGCGGCGGGCGAGGAAAGCGAGGAGAAAGCGCGAGGAGGCGGGCTCGACATCGGGGCAGGACGCGGCCAGGACGCGGACAAATTCAGAGGAGGAGAGCACCCCAAGCAAGATCGCGTCGTGACAAAAATCAGGGCGGAAGTCTTTGGCCAAAGGCGGCCTCGGGGGGCCCTCGCAAGGCCTCGGGAGCGTCAAGAAACGACTCAGGACGAAAAACCGGTCCCGGGGGGGTGGGGACTTCCAGGGACCCCGTATGGAAAAATCAAGGTAAGACGAGGCCAGGACGCGGACAAATTCGGATGAAGATAAGTTTAGGTTAGACATGTCCCCCTACAGACAGATTTTGGAGGAACAATTTAGAATACCCAAAAGATCTGCAAACATTGTCACAACAAATATTAAACAAATCGTCCCCTGACTACTTGTTTTACTACTTTTGGATGTTCCTCCTGTAGAGGGACAGGCCCGACTGAAGGGTAAGACGAGGCCAGGATGCGGATAAATTCGGATGAGGGTGATTAAGTCGAAGACCTCTGAGATCCGGCGGCTCTGGAAGACGTATCGGGCGCCACGGTCTTCTCTGGGAGCGTTCCAGAACGCTCAGGGACGGATGGATCCCTGGCCTCGTCATGCAGGGCCCATGGACGGGGACTTCGGTAAACCCAGACATTGGCACGCAAGAGAAGGCTGCAGGCGTGTCGAAAAAAATTGCCGATTTTGTTGTTTGTTTTCTCTCTCCCTCTCCCTCTCTCTCCCTCTCTCCAGGTGTACGTTGAAAGCCCTGGTGTGCAAAGTCCTGGTTCAGGGGGCCCTGGCGAAAAGTGAGCAGCCAACGCACGGAACCTCCCACTGGCCTCCGCGCGCGCGTGGCCAGACTCTGGATGCCTTCGTCGGGGCCTCTGGGAATTCCCTGGGACCCCTCCCGCGCACTGATGGCCACCTGGGCGTTCCCTGGGGCCACCGGGTGCTGTTCTGGGGGGGGGAGGACGAAAGTCGGGGGAGCTCCCGGGGGCACCCTTCGGCGGGTCCCGGGCCCTTCTTGGGGCCGTCTTGGGGCCCCTTCTGGAAACTGGCTGGCCCCTATCTTGGGCCTTCTTTGGGGACGTCACTAAAATCCCCCCCCTTCATGATCACCCCGACACGCGAAGCCGTTTAGCAAACGCACCCACAGAAGGAATCGAACAGGGCAGGGCTGTTGATAGTAGACGCCCAGGGCCGTCCAGTAAACGCCTAGGATCGGGGCCAGGTGGCTTTGCCTCCCCTAGATTGTGGGCCCACCGTGGCCTCTTGGGCCCTCTTGGGGGTGTCTGTTGCCCTTTGAGGAGCGATGAACAAGGGCAATGCTGACCGGGAATATGTCGACCCCTGCCCCAAGCTTTGGGAGGTGTTCGAACGGACCAGAGATTTGGTGCCCAACCATGGGATATACGAGGGGGGGGCGTTCATCCTCGGTGTATCCCAGGGTTTCGCTCCTTCTCTTGGCCGCTTCATTTTTCGTCGAAGAGACGGGGGTTGGGATAGAAGCATCGCCTGTGAAACGCGGTGAGGCGAGCACAACAACTAAACTGTGCGAGCCAGCGAGCAATGCAGAAGTTGTCGCCCGTTGGGGCGCCCTCGGCTCCTTCGGTCAGGTCGGGCATATCCCCAAATTGAAAATTATCCCGGCAAAGCAACCTAACAGCGATGTGTAGAAGCATATCTGAAAGCATTCCCCTTAAGATTCAGGTGAGAATCCAGCTGTAGAGTTCTGCTGTTCTTGCAATCGTAGTCGCATTCGCGATGACAGTCGCAGCGGCAACGGCAGTCGCAGTCACAGCCTCAGCCTCAGCCTGCCTCAGCCTCAGCCAGCCTGCCTCAGCCTCAGCCTGCCTCAGCCTCAGCCTCAGCCTGCTTCAGCCTCAGCCTCAGTCTGCCTTCAGCCTCGGCCTCAGCCTCAGCCTGCCTCAGCCTCAGCCTGCATCAGCCTCAGCCTCAGCCTCAGCCTGCCTCAGCATCAGCCTGCAGCCTCAGCCTCAGCCTGCCTCAGCCTCAGCCTCAGCCTGCTTCAGCCTCAGCCTCAGTCTGCCTTCAGCCTCGGCCTCAGCCTCAGCCTGCCTCAGCCTCAGCCTGCCTCAGCCTCAGCATCAGCCTGCCTCAGCATTCAAAATGTGGCCCGGGAATGGAGTTCTGGGAACTCGAAGAACACGAAGTGGCCTACAGTTGGCTCCGGGCATTCAAAATGTGCCCGGAATGGAGTTCTGGGAACTCGAAGAGCACGAAGTGGCCTACAGTTGGCTCCGGGCATCCAAAATGTGGCCCGGGAATGGAGTTCTGGGAACTCGAAGAGCACGAAGTGGCCTACAGTTGGCTCCGGGCATCCAAAATGTGGCCCGGGAATGGAGTTCTGGGAACTCTGACTCAACTCGAAGAGCACGAAGTGTGTGACTGTTGCATCCGGTTATTCTAAATGTGGCCCGGGAATGGCGTTCTGGGATCTCGAAGAGCACGAAGTGTGTGACTGTTGCATCCGGCCCTCCAGAATGTGGCCTGGGAATGGAGTTCTGGGAACTCGAAGAGCACGAAGTGTGTGACTGTTGGTGAAAAACGAGCGGGGCCCCCTGCCGCCCGGCAACTCCCAACACCTGCCCGGACCCCCCTGTGGAGTGATCTGTGAGCTCTTTTGACACCACTAGAAACCTATCAGTCTTCGCTGTTAGGTAAAAATAGTCCAGACATATTCAACAACATGCTCAAACATTCTAACAAGTTCGTCCCCCATATCATTGTTTACAGGTTTGGAACATTCCTCTGAAATGATCTTGGCATATGCTTGACTCTTCGGGAACATGTTTGGACTCGTCTTGACGATTCTTGACTACTGGTTCATGATCGGTTGGCAATTTGTTCGATACTCCCGTCCCCAGAGGGACAGGCCCGACTAAAAAGTCGTCGCCCGCTGGGCGCCCTCGGCTCTCCCCCAGGGTTTCTTTTTTGGGGGGGGGAGACGGGGGAGGCGAGGGGGAGGGCGCGAACTTCCAATGAATGCCACAGCAATCACCACTCCGTTCAACACTCACTGCAAGGAGGAGGAGGAGGAGGAGGAGGAACCCCCAGGGGTCTGCAGGAGGGGCCGCTCGGAGGCGGCCCGAGGCCTCCCCGCGAGAGCACACACGCACGCGCCCGAGAGCCCACGGGGGGCCAAGCGGGGCGGAGCACGCCCCGCTCGGCCAACGCTTTCTTATTCGGCGTTTCGACATTGTTGAGCAGGGACCCACCGTCCCGGCATTCCTATAGTCATACCACGAAATCTTCTTACAACCTACGGCGGGTTCGTGTCGTGCCGACCCCAGCGTTGGTTTTTGACACCGCAGGGATCGTTCAACCTTGAACGATCGGCCGTCTCCGCAACGTCCAATCGTTCAACATCGATCGATTCTGGGTCGCCGGCGGCGTTCAACCTTGAACGCCCGCGCTGGGGTCGCCGCTGGTCGACACGACGCAAACCTACCGTAAAAATGCCCTAAGAACAAGAAGCCATGTTCTCAGAACATAAGGCCGGTGTGTCAAAACAAGACGGTCCCGGCCAGAAATGTTCTAAGAACATTTTGTGGGAACCAC